TTTTTATTATCTCTTATAACAGTGGCCAGATTGAGTTCTACTTTTGCCTTTCTAATTTCCTTTCTGCATTAATTAATTCCTGTAGTCATCTTGAGTTGCCTGCCCCTTCTTCCAAAGGTGGTAAAGTCTTCTTTTTTCACTGAGTCCCAGAAAAAGCTCCCTGTTCAGCCAGGCTGGTCATCTTCCCCATCGGTTTGTCTTATGGCACATGGGGACAGCCCGCTCCTGCACCTTCAAGACTTTCTTCTTGAAGAAGGCCCAGCCTTCCTGGACCCCTTTGCCCTTCAGGACTGCCTACCAAGGGACTCTCCCAGCCAGCGTCCTGAACAGGCCAAAGTCTGCTCTCCGCAAGTCCATGGTAGTGGTTTTGCTGACCCCCCTCCTTACCTCACCAGGAATCGAAAACTCTATCGTATCATGGTCACTAAGCCCAAGACAGCCTCTGACCACGACATTTCCCATGAGTCCTTCTCTGTTTGTAAACAGCAGGTCAAGTGAGGCACCTCCCCTCACTTACCAGCTATGTCAAGAAGTTATCTTCCACGCACTCCAGGAACCTCCTAGACTGTTTGCTGTGTTGTATTTCCAGCAGATGTCTGGCAAGTTGAAGTCCCCCACAAGAACAAGGGCTAGCGATTGTGAGACTTCTGCCAGCCACTTATAGAATGTTTCATCTACTTCTTCATCCTGGTTGGGTGGTCTATAACAGACTCCCAACAGGACATCTGCCTTGTTGGCCTTCCCCTTCATCCTTACCCATAAGCGCTCGACCTTATTATCACAACTGCTGAGCTCTATACAATCGAAACACTCCCTAACATACAGAACCACCCCTCTGCCTCTCCTTCCCTGCCTATCCCTTCTGAAGAGCTGATAGCCATCCAGTGCAGCACTCCAGTCATGAGAGTCATCCCACCACCTTTCTGTGATGGCGACTAGGTCATAGCCATCCTGCTGCACAAGGGCTTCCAGCTCCTCCTGTTTGTTGCCCATGCTGCATGCACTGGTGTAGATGCACTTGAGCTGGGCTATTGATTTCACCCCCAACATTGCCATGCCACCCTTGGGCTCCTCTCTAGTGAGCCTGGTTATATCCCCTTCAAACCTAGTTTAAAGCCCTCTTGATGAGCCCCACCAACTCATGGGCGAGAGTCCTTTTCCCCTTTGAGATAGCTGAACTCCATCTGTCACCAGCAGGCCCGGTGCTGTGTAAACCTCCCCATGATCAAAGACACCAAAATTCCACCAATGGCACCAGCCTCTGAGCCACATGTTAATCAGGTGAGTTTTCCTGTTCCTTTCAGTGTCCTTCCCTGCCACTGATGGGATTGAGAAAAACACTACCTGTGCTCCTGATCCTTCAACCAATCACCCCAGTGCCATGAAGTCCCTTTTGATCGCTTTTGGACTTCTCTCCACAACCTCATCACTGCCAACCTGCACAACTAATAGCAGGTAATAATCAGAGGGTTATAAGGTTATAGAGTAGCTCATTTCCAGCTAGTGATTTCAGCCCTTCAAGCCAACCAAGTTGGTTGAACTGGTGAACACATTTAGCAGTGAAGGTTTCCTCAACCGCAAGGCAGGCAGGTGTGTCCTCAACTCCACTATTGTCAACATGCTAAAGCAGCTCTGAAAACTCTGCATCTGGTTAGGAAAGGTCCCCCCCTGAAGCAGAAGTCACAGAAGGCAGGTGACCTAATTTGGCTGCCTACCTATGGCATGATTCACCACAGCGTAAGTTTCTGTTTGTGTCAACTGTGACACAAACCAAAGGAAACAAGATCAGAACAGACACCTAAAGCCCTAACTCACAACCCCCAAAACATAAACTTAAAAAGATAAGCCTCATAAAGAAGGAAGAATGAGGAAAAATATCACCTGGACATACTGAGCCGCTTTCTGCATGTTGGAGAGGAGTGAGGGAGCCAAGGGAGGGGCAAGGGTGGCAAAAAAAATTCAGGCACAATCAATCATCATCAAGCACCTCTCCCTACTGTAGTAAATGCACTTAAGATGAGCCAAATTCAGATATTACCACTGCCAAGCTGGAGCGGCTGTGCCTCACACCAGGCATGCACGGCAAAGACTCCATCGCTTATCTCCATGCCCCAGAACTCAGGGATCTGCATCAGCAGAAAGCCGCGTGCATTTTGTTGGCTCAAATTCTGACCAATTCCACATGCAAATGCTGTTGCCTCCAAGGTCAGGTTCCCCACAGCAGAGAAAAAGATGGAGGGACAAGGACTTTCTTTCAGTAGTTCATTCTTATTGAGCAAGTCTTTTTGCCATGAGGTCACAAGCTAGACCTCAGTCCTTTGCCGCACAGGAACTTCGCCATTGCTATGCTGTAAGCCAGAAGCAGATGTCTTAGAGCCCTTGCAGTTTCCTGCCTAAACAGTGCTTCTACTCCTATTTCAACTCCTTAGCAGACACAAACCCCTACTCCTTCCAACCAAAGACCAGACCTTGCAGCTGCTTTACAACAAAAGGGGTCCCAAAGAGGCCTTGATCTTCATGGCTCCTTTGATGGCTGACCAGGGCCACCTGCATGGTTGGAAATCTCTCCTCGTAGGGTGGTTGCCACTCTGAGTGCCTGCACATTCATGACCACTGAGCATCTGAAGTCACCTCCTGCACCACAATGTTAGAGGTAACGCTGAACAGAAAAAGACATTCAATAGCTGCCGATGGTCCTGTCTTCTGCTGTACTAGGCGGTTCCCAGGACGCACAATGAAGCTCAGGTGACACAAAACACTCCAAGGTAGAGAAGTTTTAGGTAACCGAAGACCAGCCTGTTTAGGGCTTGAAGGCAATGACTATACCTTAAAACATGAGGCAAGAACCAGCTCCGCATTCCTGTGGCCACCTGCACCAGGCTACAACACTGCAGAGGCAGATGCAATAAATCCCTTTAAGCAGAGGAAGGAACCCAATTAGAAAGATGATGGATGCCAGGAGGCTTCAGCGCAGCAGTCATCTTCCACAAAGTAACAAGCACTGCATTGGCCTTCTCCCCCTCATCACAGGTTCGGCAACTGCCTTTCATTGTGGTCATCCTTGCAAATCATTAGGTTTGCTGAAGAGCTAAAACGTCAAGTAGCATCAGCACCTCCAGGAGCTCGATGCAGGCTTGGCGCAGCAGAAGGGTGCAACCAGCCTCTCAGATCCGTCTGACAGTCCTTGCAGCTTTTGTAGTTACTGTAGAAGCAGGAGGCAGTGCCGCCCTGCTGCCGGCGTGCACTGCCCTGACAGCTCCTGCAGGTCACCAGCAGCACTGGAAGATGCTGCTAGGAGCAGCGTTCGGCCTCCTCCTCGGGCACATGGGTCCCGTGCTGCTTCTGCGCTAGGTCCACAGATGCTTTCAAAGTAAAGGAGTCTGGGTGCGCCGGATTGCTGCTGGAGTTGTCTTGCAGCCAGGTTTCCAAAGAGGACAGGTGGATGCCAATTGTGGCAACAGATTGCTCTAGAGACCTTATATTTTTCATGTCAGAAATAATTTTTATTTCTTTTAAAACCAAAAGTAATACCTACAGTAATTAAAAACCCACTCCCATAACAAAGATAATTGACTAATCCAGCCTTGTGAAACTTCACAATGAGACATTTCAATGGAAGGGTAAAGTTTTACATGTGGTACATGATAGAAATAATATCTACTCTACAGTTCCAGAGGAATTAGCCAAGAAGGAGAGTTGTAGTGAAGAAAGTTGTACATCAGCCCTAATTCAGTGAGACATTTTGCAACATTGCCCTTAAAATGCATAAGAAGTCCCACTTAAGTCGTAAGAACTACACACAACCTTACAACGAGCTGCATTCTGCTGTGTCCCCCCAAACTGTGAACTTAAAAAGCGTATCTGAAAATCCCTAAACCTCTGTCTCTACAAGACAGGCAAATCAAGCTTTTAACACTAATGTGTGATCACATTAATGTGCATATATTCTTCAACTGACATTTATCTGGCATGTTGGAAAGACTAGTATTTATCACCAAAACTGTTTATACAGATGCACGAACATCAAGTGGATTCGAACAATACTATAGCATCATGTCCTGTCAAAACCAGTCACCTCTTGAATTTACCCAACAGCTGCAACAAACAGCTTGTAAGCTGCTCACAGATAGACAATTTCGTTCAAAATAACTGCACTAATAAAAACATTCAAGATACAACACTTTTCTTGGAGGCCAGTTCACAAACAAGAGGCACTATCTGCAGGGCAAAGCAGTCAGTACAGTTTGTCCAGTTCAGCTGGCCTCTGGCTCTCCCCTTTTGCCATTTTTTGGTTCCCAACAGGTAATCCCTGACGGGCTCTCAGATTGTTATGTCATCCTGGCCATTTTTCCTTTTGATACGTTTTCTTCAGAGTGGTCATGCTTTACCTTCATTTGCATTGGGTCATCTGTATCATCTACGGGAAGAAGGAAAGAAGAATTAAAGTTTGCAAGTCCTTCTCCAGCTTCAGTGCAACAACCCACAATGACAGTAGCAGGTGAACTTACAAAGCATGCCAGAAAACACTTCTATTTACAGGCAACGAGAACAACACTGGGAGTAGGGGACTCTGGTTCTCAGATTTTGGCTTTCCCTATCTTCCAAGAGCAATCACAACAACATTTACTCCCCTATACCAAAGGGTTTACGGAAGAACTCTCAGCATACATTGGTTATATCTGGAAGGTACCAGTGTGCAACCTCCTGGACACATCAGTATGCACAGGATTGTGAACAATTCATTCCTTCTGACCACAGCAATTGAGGCAGGAATACTTAAGACTCCCCTTGGCTGCTCCGTGTTGGATTTCTGTAATAGATACTGAGGCTGCCATGGCATACACTGTTAAATACAAAAGCGATGCTTCACTTTCCTTCCTGCAGAGGATTCCGCTGAGGCTACAAGCTCGTCACAGGCCCTAGGATTTCAATTTTAAGAGCACAGGTGCCGTGTAAGTGGAACATCTCTGTGACTGGAAATACCTAATGAATTCAGGCTAGCCCCAAGTTTGAGTGTTCCAGCCTTACCTGATAACTACCAGTTTGCTATGCATGTGCTTAACCTATTTAGAAAACAAGGTTAAAAGGTAAATTTCTTAGAGCAATTCAGCTCTCAAGGGCTTTTTGCTAATTAGTTGTCAGTGGGAATCTCAAATAATTCCTGCTACAGGGCAGGGTAGATCATGGTAAAAAGGACAAACAACAATGCTCTGGTTCACAAGAGGCGTGAGCAGAGCTGCAGAGATTTCTGCACGTTGGAGGTACACCTCGCAAACCTGGGGGCTGGGAGTCTGTTTGTGCAGACCTGCAGAAGTTAGCAAAGGTCTGCTTTTGGGAGGGCATTCCTCCAGCAGGCACAAGCAAGCTCCCATCCTGCAAGAGCAGCCAGAAGGGAAGGGACACTGCTCAACCTCCGCTTTCCCATTTTAACAGTAACTAGAAGAGCAGCACATCGTGTTGGTAACCAAGAGGAAAGGCATCCTGGAAATCAACACAAAACCAACCCCCAAAGCTGGTGACAGCCTTGCATCGCGGTACACTGAACATCCAGTGCTGCAGCACCTCTTACCCCTCGTGAGCTGGGCCGTTCTGTACTGTTCCTCTCTGACCTGTTTCATCAGCTGCAGGTTGTGATCACTGGCTTCCTTGTGGTTCACCATTGGGAAGGGATAATCTTGACCTGGTGCAACATGGAGACAGCAGCCTTTACAGAACTAATCGAGGACGTTTCACTGGATTTGCACCAGGGTGAATGCTTGCAGCTTTTCTTAAAATAAATAGCATCTAAGATAGACCACGTGACCCACTCTTCAGAAGTGCCTATTTCTCACCATCAAAGAGTACGAGCTCCCATTTCGAAATAAGCTTAGAGGAGACTTCAAAGATGCATTAGAGCAACTGTAAAAGCACAAGATGTTAGATACTATTTAAAGACAGCCAAGCATCCAAGACAGATAAATGCAAAGGCAATAACTTAGAGTGATCCAATAGTTTTAGGACATGAAGTTGAGGCAAAAATACATACTCTGAAATTAGACTCCAGTTAAAAACTTTAAAGGAGAATTGACAGAAGGTAGACTGCTGGATTAATCCATTTTCAGAAGATAAGTGCATGACTTGTGTTGGAAGTGTGACACTTCCATCTTGCGCATGTAATTATTTTGGAAAGTTAGCAGCAGCAAAATCCTTAGCAAGGTATCCGAATGAATTACCTATGATACACCCTGCTTGCTTCTGCTCCTCTTCAGATGCTGTCCAGGGCTCGTAGATGTACTTGGAGGGAAAGTTCTTTAGTATAGGCAAGTATTTCCTACAAAACAGGAATAATACAGGGTTTTATAATCCTGCAGACAAATACTCGTACATTTAAGAGAAGTGTAAACCAAACTATGCCATATTAATTCTTGGTGATCGTACTGATACTACAATCCATGCTATGACCCCTGTTTCACAGGGGTACGGTGTTTCAAACAGACTGAGTTCACCAGCTCCTGCTGTAAAAGGAGCCAAGGAAGCACTAACAGAGCCGACGGTGCCATGCTGTGCATCGCCCTACCGAATGTACTGCCCCTCGGGGTCCGTGCGCTTCCCAAAGAGGACAGGGCAGAAGATCCGCGTGTACTGGTGGAAGAACGCGCTGGCTGACAGCCACATCCAGTTCCCTGCGTTGATGCTGTAGTCAGCATCTAAAAGCAGCTCTTCAAACACCTGCACTTCAGGGACAGGAAGAGAAAGAAACAAACACCCCTGAAATGGCTATGTTGCAAAAATTAAACAAAAACAAGCTGGGAGATGAAGGGTGAAGCTTGCTGCTAAAAGTACAGCACCATGCTGGTCTGGGCTACCCTTCTCACAGGACACACAGGGAAGGCTCTCCAGCGAGACAGTTTGCCAGCAGGAAGGTAGAGCAGGACCCAGTGATAGAGGAACCTGAAGCCCAAAGGTCTGGCTTTGAGGCCTGCTGCAGACTGAGCAGGTCTCCAATATCCTCTCGTCCAAAAATCATCAGGCCTTGGGGATGGGAACGACCTCTCACCACTGCACCCAGCACAGCAGGGCTCAGACTCGAGCAAGAGACCATGAAATTTCATAAACCATGAGATTTCTAGCGAGGCTCGGTAACGAAGCACTGCTCTACAGTACCACCTCCCACTGCCAGGCTCACGTTCTGCAGGGGTTTCTCAAGGTCAGCCAGAACAGAGAAAACAAAACCACAGAAGTGAACCTTCATGCCCTCTTCCCAGCTGATCCAAAGGTCTCCCCGCGTCAGGAAGCAAGCAACAGCGTGCCGAGCAAGGTGATGGATCCAGCCTTCCTGGTGCAGCTGGGTCATAATTGCGTCGATCCATGGGAACCCCGTCTGTGCCTGCAGCAGAAAAGAAACATCAGCCCTCCTGCACAAAGCTTCATTACACTTCTTTCCTACACACTGCTGTAAGCCCCACCTCAAACAGCCAGCAGGGAACAATCCCAGGGCAACAGAAAAACTCTAAACTGAAATGTAGCAGTTGTGGCAATGCATCTTGTTACCGTTTTCCATTTGTGGAGCCTCTCTGCATCCTCATACCAACTGATCTGAAGGCAGATGGGGTTCCCAGCCATTTTGGTGAAGTTTGGTGTTGCTGATGCCACTGTATAAAAGAATTCCCTCCACAGAAGCTGCCCTTGGAGTGACACTGGGGGCAGGGAGTGATGCTTGGCCTGCAAAAGACACGCGAGGTGAAAGCTTCAGTTCATATATACCACTGCAGTCTCACTCATTTTGTGACTGTCAGGCCCATAAAATAACAATAAATCTAACTACACTACTGGCTTCATGGCACTTTACCATGAAAGCCAAAAAAAATCAAAGATCTGAAGCAATGCTATATGCCCAAAAGCAAAGCTGAACTCTGTTAGACCTCAGTGTTACCTCAAATATTCTCCATCTACCTTCCAAAATAGTGTCACACTGGGATTTCTTAAACCAAACATGCATTTATTACTAGCTGAATTCAGGTGGATCAGCCATGTCTCAAGAGATGCTCTTAAGAAGGAGGTTCAGGGAGACCTTGGTTTTCTTGGATTGGTTTCAACCATCATTTTTCTTAAGAATCAAATAAGTTTTCAGAAATTGGTTTTGGCTTATGCTATACTTAAAACGTCAGAGATGAAAACAGATATTTCTAAAAAAAAAAAAAAAAGAAAACCTGCTTGAACAGGCTAAACTGATCAAAAACTTCACCGGGCAGACGTCTTGAACTCCCTGAATTTTAGGAGGGTTTTCCTGGGCTTCCCTCCTGCTTCCAGGTCTCATTGCTCCCTATTTATCATATTTCTAAAACTTAATTGGGAAAAAGCTGTATACATTCACAGGTGTTTCACACAACATGTAAAGCCACCCACAGATTTCACAGGACACTGTGAGAAGACACTAGCAAAGTAGCATTTTTTGATACACCAGCTCTCTGCCAAGATGATCCGAGTGTTAAATCCTAGTGCTAAATCCTAGCCTCACATGCCAGACACATGAGACTGCTGGATTTGCTAAACTATGACTAATTATTTTCTTACCTGAGCATAAATGTTTGACAACCTATAAAAAAAGGTGCGAACTGACAGACAACCCATACTGAAATATGGGCTCAGGCCTGTGGTGCTTGGAAGCAGCGAATTTGGGATTGTTCTCGGTTTAGTAAAACTTGCCACCCAGCCCTAAAATGAAAAAAGAAATCCAGGTTCAGGCAGTACAAGGTAGCACATGTCCAGCTAATGAAACAGGGGAAAAAAAACTCTCGGCAATTGGCTTCTGCATCACAGAGGCCTGTTCAATGTCATGCCTGGAAAACGAAATGAAAAGAGAAATCCAGGTTCAGGCAGTACAAGGTAACACATGTCCAGCTAATGAAACAGGGGAAAAAAAAACTCTCGGCAATTGGCTTCTGCATCACAGAGGCCTGTTCAATGTCATGCCTGGAAAACGCTCCCACCGCCCGTCCTCCCGCAAACGCCACCACCAAGGACAACGTCATCTTGAAACTAGGCTGCCGTCCTCCTCCATGATCTCCAAATACACGGACCTCCTCCAAGCCCAACGTCAAGGCCACGTCTCACCCGTGGGCGCTGTGAAGCTCTGGTCTCCCCAGAGAGCCGGGTGATTTTGTAACACGGGGAACAGCTCTCTCAGTCCAACAGCACTGCACTGAAGATCTTTTCCACTTGAAATTGGGAGTAGGTAAAGCAGCTGGTTAAAAGCAGCCAGCACCAAGGCAGGCTTGGCTGCCAAGAGCCGAGCACCAGGGGGAAATACTCAGCTGGAGCTGGTACAGCTGAGCAGCTTCTTGAGGTCCAGGCACAACCACACATAAAAGGAGCAAGGCGGACGCTAACCTCAGCCCATCTAGAGCCACCATCATCACCCACGTAAAATCAAGGCTGACCTGGTCGGTCAAGTGTTGCTCCAGGCGCTGTAGCCCTTCGGACTCCCCTCCTCTCCAGGGGGAAAGGCTCTCCAGGGGGATCTTCAAATCCACGGGGAGAGGCACCCTGTAACACTCAGCCAGGCCCGGGTCAGGGGGCCTACACCTCCTAAAGTGAGAGAGGGGCCTCTGTCAAAGAGGGAACTGGAGCCAGAAGAGGGAGGAAGACCCCTGCCCATTGCACACGCTGAGACCTCCCCTGTTGCAGCACAGCCAGAGCACAGGGGAACAAAAGCACAGCCGGAAACCCCAGGCTGCACTCTCCTTGGGGAAGAAAGAGCTCGTCCTGCAATCGCTCCAGGTAGTTCTAGCCTGAACTGGGGGAAGAGGAACAGACCCACCAAATTACAGCACTCAGAGCAGTCGGCTGCAGCCCCCACAGCTCAGAGACCCCTCTCACTTCCCATCCGCTACGTAAAGCTCGGAGGCATCTCCTCTCCAGCTTCCCCCAGCTGTCTCATCCATCCCTGGGAGGGAGCCAAGAGCCTCCTCAGACTCTAAACATAATTATGCGGCAACGGCACTGCCTCCAAAGGCCGCTCCCGCGCCTCTGAGGAGAGGTGGCTCTGGCAGAGGTTTCCTAGGGAAGGAGGCAGCTCAGCTCCCTGGTCCGCCTCCCCAGCTGCTTCTCCCTAACCAAGGCGGGGGCTCCCCAAGCCCACACCTCTGAGCAGTCCCCCCACATCTCTTCTGCAGCCTCAGCTGCTGAGGCTTCCCCAAGGCCTCTGCCCCCTGCGAGGCTGGAAGAGCATCAGGGTATGGGGTTTTTCCCCCTGTAAAACACAGAGGAGGAGGCTCAAGGAAGTGTCACTGGTATGCAGACTTCTCAAAAACTGTGAACGAACTCAGATATCAATAGAGATCTTTCTACTTACCTGTAAGAAACCGAGCTCAGCTCTGTTGCAGACACCTACAGAAGGGGCCAGTGCAGCTCAGAGCACTGACATAACACAGGCCTGCTGGGAAGCATGTGAACCACTTATCTCTCATCATCATTAATGTTCAAAGTGCAAATAAACAAATCGGGGAAAAAAAGGAAAAAAAAAAAACATGCAAGAAAAAATATAGGAACTGATATGTCCCAATACTTACATGGGTCTTATCATCAGACTAGCTGAGGAATTCAGGAATTAACAGGATTCCCCCAAGATGGGAAGACCTAAGCCTAGGTTATGGGCACAGAGCTGAGGTCACGAAGGAGGTGCCTGACACAAGTCCCAGGTATCTGCAGTCCAGTGGCCAGCTCTCTCCTACCCCAATCTTCCCTCCCTTTGGATCACTGACCTCTCCTCATGCAGAGCTAAACATAAGACACCTTTGACTCTGAGCTTCTTCTCAAGTCCTGGGAGCTTGGTCCCTCCTTCCCATACAGCAGAGGGGAAGAGAGAAAGATTTAAAGCCAGAAGGGAACAGTATGATTATTCCAGTGAACTTCCTGCATAAAACAAACTACAGTGGTTCATCCAATTCCTGCCTTGAATCTTGATCTGTGAGGGACCTAGCGCATGCCTTTGAGAGACTGACCTGTAATTCCTTAGCCACTCCTCTGTCAGACTTTTAAGGTGAGTAAAAGTTTATCTCAATGTGCCTTGCAAAAGCTTAAGTCTTTGGACTGTGCCCCCTCTCATCTGCTCTCCCCCCCCAAGAGCAGAATCACATCCCCTGTACATATAATCGATAACCCTCCACGCATAGAAGTAATGCAATGTAACATCAAAGCCACCCTGCCTGTGGCCCTGGCTCTTCTTTTGGGCAGCGAAAAAGGACCTGCAATTTCCTGCTGTCTAGGTGTTACTTACTGGAAGTCTTCAGCTGTAAGGTTTCGGACAGGCACCTCAGGGTCACCAAGCAGAGACAGAATGTGAAGGAACCTCTTGTACGTTAATGGGGGAGTCCCACCATTCAGGTCCAAAATCCTACGCAAAGCAAGATCACTTTTCACCATAATATAAACCAAGAAGGAAGCTGGAGCTGCCAGTGGATACGAAGGTGATGGCACAGGCCAGAACAGCCCCAGTTCATGCAACTGAATGTGGAAATTACAGATTTTACAAGTAAAACTTCACTGGGTGAACATACATCCACCCTGAGAGCAGTCTCTCAGGACTTGAGACTTGGGACCAGGATGCCAGCCACAGCTTCAGCTGGGCACCTCTGTACAGCCAGACATAGCCAGCATGGCAGAGTGCAAGGTGCAGGACACCTCTGGGGCTGCCAGAGGCAGCCTGAGCACAAAAAAAACCCAGGTTCAGGGCAGTAAATAACTCTTCTATGAGAGCAACCACCTGTGCAAGCAGACAGCTTGAATTCAAGACAGCAAGTCACATACGTCCATTCATTTAAGTAAATTAGGGGCTTTCCAGAATTGGAGTGTTAAGGCTGGTTTAGGTATTCCTGATCACCTCCCTATCACTATTAACTTCAATACCTTCAATCATTCAGCTCTGCGTAACAGCTTGGATCCAAGCGTAACCAGTGAAAGTTGATTAAAAAAATAGAAAAAAATCTGACACAAAAGCTTTTATATAAAAGTCCTATTAAGTGTGTTAAAGAATTTCTTTCACTCTGTTTAAAAGAGTAGCTAATGTAAGTTTTGAAGTGAATTAAACTGCCAAAAGGGAAAAAATTAACAAACTCTTTAGGCTCAAATCACAGCCCAACATCCTAACACCTGTGCAAAAATCTATTCTGTTACTTCCAGCAGACCAACACACAAAAATTCTCCAGCAAACAGTACCACGTTCATCTCGGTCCAATTTTCTCAAAAGGAGTACATTAGGATCCAGAAAGACCAAGATACTTGGCCTTTTCTCCCTGATGCTTGCTAAATCCAAAATCAACCTTCCTGGAGACACCTCACTGGTCTCTGGGGCAATCACGTACCGTTTGGTATCGTACAGACAGTGGCCCAACAGGGAAAGCACCTCAAACCCCAGCTCTTCTCCCAGACGTCGTATGTTGGCCTCCATTTCCTTGTAAAACGGTTCCATCTCCGCATCCAGAGTCACTTGCGTGATATTCCACTTCTGGATGTGATCTCTAAGAACAGACTCGTACTCTCCTTGAATAACCAGCAAGCAAGAGCCCAGCTGACACAAGTTTTTCTGGAGATCCTCCAGGGACTGCAGCAGAAAATGCCACCGCAGGGCCCCTATGTGCATCACGGATGTCATGAACTTTCTGTCCAGGATGTAGACAGGGTAGACGACCTCCGAGGACTCCAGTGCAGCCAGCAGCGTTGGGTTGTCATGAAGCCGAAGTCCCTTCCGGAAAAGATGAATGGTGCGATGTGGCATCCTGGCTGTTCTCCTCAGATCTGCTAAAAGAGGAAGGGAACCATTGGCTTTGGGGATACACAATCCCTATTAAAGAACAAGGTCAATTAACAATTAGAAACGGAGCTCCAAACAGCCTTCAGCTCTTTTTACTGCAGATCTCTTCTGCTTTTGGTAAGTTTTCATGAGAGACAAAAGCAGAAACAGGTCCAAAGGGCTCTCCTCAGTCTCCTCAGCCAGGTCCCACCATTCAGCAGCTGTATCACCACCTTGCTCCACAGAGAACGGCTTCTTCCCCAAATGAGTCACTCAAGCCCTTAAATGAAATCCCTAAATTAAATTACATCCCAACAGCGCTCACCAGAAGGAATGAATCAAAACAGAACTGCCAGAGCTCCATTTACTGCAAAAACATTTTATATGATATGTAACAGATGCGTCCATCAGCAAGCCCTCCATAAGTCAACAGTGCAAAGATGATTCAGGGAGCTCTGCCTGCATTCACATACACAACGGGCTGTGGGGAGAACAGCTCCGCAGGAGCCCTCATCTCATCGAAGACCTGATACAATGCTCACTCTGGCAGTGAAAAGCCTTTTTGGATTTCAGTAGGAGACATCTGAAAGACACGGCATGTTTCCTCACTAACAAGACTGTTAAGGCTTCAAGGTGAAATAAGGGAAAGCAAAGCACAGCCCACCCAACGCCGATACAAGAGCATAGTATCTCAATTCATCGGTTTGCCACAGATTTTATCCATCTTTCCTAGTCCCAGGAGACCTCACGGTGCTTCTAAGTGTCTGGAGAAGCCCTCCTCTCTCCATAGCAGCACTGGGTGGTGATAACCGCACAAAACTACTCTTTTTCTAAACTGGGACTGATGTAGGGATTAGCACACGTTCCTTCCCCTTTGAACTGCTTCAGCTGAGGTTAGAGGACAGGCAGGAGGGCCGATTTTGGCTCTCAGTCTGGGGTAGCTCAGGGCAAAGTCTAAGAAAGTGCCCCACAACTGCTGGCTGCTCTGCTGATGGACTCTGCAGACGGCAGCAAACAGAAACGACGAGCCCAGCTGCCACCTTGTGTTTGTACCTAACCCAGCAAGGGCTCCCCAGCTTGCTCCCTCCACGGAGAAGGGGAGAAGCCTAGCACCCACCTCCGAGGTGGGTCCACACCTGCTTCTAATTCAAGCGTTACCACCCAGAGAAGCATTAAGAGATTAGGGATTAGCAAAGAACCAAACAATCGTCTCTAATCCAGCTCAGCTCTTCCAGCCAAACTGCTCCACTCACGCCCTCCCAAATGGCTGCAATAGGCGGCTTAGCCCCCTGGCCCCGCTCAACCCACAATCAACAGCTTTACCAGCCTCATAAAAGATGACGTGACTTGCCCTGTTCCCAAAAACACTCATCAGCATCACCGAGACAAACCCAGTTGCGCTCCCAGGCCGTGACACAGCCCATTGCAACCCCCCGAGAAGCAAACCCTGCAAATCTGCGGGCTCTGGGCAGCACCGCGCAGAGCCGAACACGGGGGTCTGGGCTTTGCGGGGTGCTCTGCCTTGTGCCCCAGCTCCAGCACCGCCTTGCCCACACATCCTGGGAGAACAGGAAAAACAAGGTGACTCTCCCACTGCTCAGGGGGAGCACCCAGATGGCACTTTTGGGTAGGAAACCATGCAAAGTCCCCTGCATCCCACGGCGGGAGCACAGGACCAGCCTGCACCAGCTGGCCCCAGCGAGGGGCTGCCCTGAGTCGGGGGCTGCCCGGTCCCCAGAACATTGGGGCCATCCCAAGCCCTGCGGCCCCACGTGGTCTGCAGGGCCACCCCAAGCCCAGGGCCTGGCAGCCCCACCAAGCCCACAGGACCACCCCAAGCCCAGCACCCCTTGGCCCCGCACAGCCTAGAAGGCTGCGCTGAGCCCGGGGCTCCGCAGCCCCACGCGGCCCCTGGGAACGCCACCATCTCAG